TTTTTTTTTTTTTTTTTTTAACTTCTTTGGCATTCTCTGTTGAGGGGTCAGCTTTAACATCGCTCCTCCCACCACACCCACATTCTTCCCATGTATCAGTGTTTGTCCAGTTAGGACTTTTTAAACAATACCTACTGCCAAGCAATGAGGTACATACTGTCACTTCTTTTGCTGTGTAGCTTTTTTATATTTTCTTTGGTTACATTCATTCTTTTGCTTATGCTCTTAGCTTTGATATACTTAATCATCAAACTTTTTGCTGGTTTTACTAGATCTTCAAGTAGATCCTCCTCCCCCCCCCTCCAGTTAAGTGACCATCTCTTTCTCTATCAAATAAGTCTAGGTTTATGCCCTGGTACAAGATGATCAGTCATCTGACTCTGCAGAGTAGAGACCTGGGATATCTGATATCTGAACACTTTCTAATGTAGTCTTAGTTTATTTCCCCATCTTTGTCCCTTTCTGGTTCCAGAGATGCCTGGTTCCACTAGTATGTGAGCACTAGTATGTAGGTTCTGCAGTGTGGACTTATTTCTCGGCACACTGCAGCATTTGCTTTGAACTCAGCGTTTTGTTTGGGGTCTGCTAACACAGTGCTGCCATCTGGCATATACAGTTTTGTTGCCACTGCCGGCCCTGTCCTGTCCTTGTGGGTTTGTATTCTTACCTTTAAATTCTGTACAGTTGCTGAGGCTTCTGAGGGGGTAGGGGCAATGGTAACATTCCCAAGAGTAACTTTCTACCTAACCGCCTTTCCTAAGAGATGGCAGAAAAGTTCACGGTTTCACATCCTGCCTGTAGGTATTTGGAGATACTCTGTTGTCCAAAGCCAGTTAGTTACTTGTTAAAGAGGTCGTAGGTGTTTTGCCTAGGTTGACTCAGTTAGCATCATTAAGAGCATTTGTTACCTGTTACTCGGTTTACAAAAGTAAAATGTGTTTCTTTTCCATGTTTTAGCCTATTTTGAGTTTTGCTTTGCTTACAGCTGCTTGGTTTCAAGTTAGCTCAACTGTATACTTTTCATGGTAGAACTGAATGGTGACTTGTGAATTGCTGATTCATTTTTCTTTCCAATCTGACTTGAACTATTTAGTCAGTGTTGGTTTTTTTATTTGAACCTGTAATTGTAAATTTGCCCATTGCCAAACATTGCCATACTGGAGGCACTACAGAGAATATTAAGAATTAGGATGAACTTCTGTTCCTGAAGTTGGGTGAAAATGATGCTGCTTCATTTTATAGAGATCTTGCAGATTCAAACAGTAAAGAAAAAATGTTGAATTTGATATATTCCAACTTTTCTTAATAGATCTTCACATATTTGCCTCTCAATTATTTGGGAATATTCGTTTTATCCCATGTGGTGATCTGAATAGCAAATTTAACTTTATTCAGATGAATTTAATAGAGGAAACTAAAACTAGATGTGTTGGATGGTGTCACAAAGTGACAACCAAAACACTCCAGTGTTTGCTGTTTAACAATGAAAGTACATAAATTAGGTTGGTATTTTTGGAAGTGGTAATGCGAGGCAACTTCATTCTTAGGTTTCCCGCCCCCCCCCCCCTTTTTTTGAGAGGGAAAGAGACTAAAGTGGACTCCACACCCAGCAGATTTAGAGCTTTCCTGACTGAGCCACCCAGGCACCCTGTGCTCTTACATTCTTACTGTTCTTGTGAAAGGCTACCTCACTGAACTTCAATTTGAAATTTTGTTTTTGTTGAAAATACCGTAGAGCACTGGCAACATCTGGAGTGTCATGAACTTACTAGAGATGTATAATCTGTTTTCCTAGAGATAAGCATAATTAAGATCATTTGTCAGAAGTACTAAGCATGAGCCAACGTACGTGTCAAAAATTCATGTAACACAAAGAATTGTATTTTGCACACATATCTAGCTTACCATTGGACCAAGGTAAACCCTTTAAGTTTTAAGTACCCTTCTAGATCTTTTATACATAATACTTGTTTAATTGCTGACTTTTTACTGAACTTTTTGTTTTTCAGGTGTTCTTGCTGGTCACGATAACCGGGTCAGCTGTTTAGGTGTAACAGATGATGGCATGGCTGTGGCAACAGGCTCTTGGGACAGTTTTCTGAGAATCTGGAATTAACAGTGCATGCAAGTTTTTCTGTTCTCCATTGCTTATCTGGAGAAATCAGTGCTACAGCCTAGAGCTGTGAGAAGAAAATCCTACCTTATATTTGCAGGTGAAGATTTTTCTAGAGATTATTATATACAAAAAGAAGCTTTCAGTAAACTACAAAACAAAAAAAGTGGGAAAAAAAAACAAAAACAAGGCAAGGGTGCTTGCTGACATCAAAAGGACCAGTGCATTAATTTGAGTTGAGCTAATTTAACCTTGATGAATTTTCACTTGTACTCAGATTATTTTCTTTGTGTAGGACAGAATGTACACATTATAGCAGTCTATCATGTTTGTGTTTGCATTTTTTAAGAACTACATTTTTAACTTTCTATATATAAGAAATATCACGTTTTTGAGTTCTGTAATGGAGGAATAGATGGAAGTGATTCCAGATGTATGTGTAGTTATATTTGAAGAAAGTCTTCTTGAAGTCTGACCTTTTTAATCTAAAAGAGATCTGGTTGCCTAATGTTTAAGTATACTAGCAGGCTCAGGTACCTCTGAGGGGAGACCCTGTTGAGGATCAGTAGTTTCTGGGGCATCCGTGGCCATCCTATGAATTTAAATAAGTGCTCATTTTCGGTTCATGAAGGGGGAGATAATCTGAAGGCCAGGGAATCAAGATTTCATTCTGAAACATTAGACATATATAAGAAACTCCTACATTAAGTTAGCAGTAATGGCATAAAAATCGTTCTTGACATAGAAAAAATGTGGTTATAATCAAATGACACTTTCAGTAGCTCTCCAACTCATTGGGCTTGCTTTCCTAAGGATTGATGCTCTAGAACAGAGTTTGTAGAGTACTCATTTCAGATTGATGAACAATTGGGCTGTCCTTGAATCTTTTCCCCAGTGTACTCCATTGACCTACATGTAGATAGGAAATTAATGTGATGACGTTGTTGAAGTAGTGCAAGACCTAATCAGTCATTAGACTTGATTAGTTCTAATTGTGTAACAAAGCGGCTTTATGAATTTATGTTCAGATAATATAAAATCTGAATTGATATAAGTTTCTGTGACTTAAATTTAAAAGAAATATTAAAGCTTTTTGCTCTCCTGTAGCATTTCTTCTCTTGGCACGAAATACTGGTTTCTAAGTGATTTTTTTTTTTTGCCTCAAAGAGTGTTTAGACACAAGTGACTCCACTTGAAAGCCAAAAGAAAAATTCTAAGAGCAGCTCCTTAAGGAATCAGAGGAGCATAGTAAGCAATTCCGCTGTTCATAAATGGTATAATGTGTCTATTACTAGAATGCCCGCCCCTTCCCCACCCCAAATTTAAACTTTTCCCTTTGAATTTTCTCCTATAACAAAAGCTAAATGACAATAGAAGACTATTAGTCTTGCTTGATGGTGAAGTCATGGGCTATTCTGATATTTAGAAGTGCATTGTTTTGTGATTTAGTGAACTGTGCCTGTTACTGTTGAGATAGGTCTCAACTTTTTATCACCTGTAACCCTAAATACTCCCAAATTTTACTTGTGGATTTTCATTTTTATATTGTGAATGTGCTAGTAAGTGAATCAGCTATAATGAAGTCAGTATCCATTTTAAGATCAGCTGATGATAATTAAAAGAAAATGGATAAAGGAAGATTATGATATAGGACCAAAAAAATACAGTGTAGATGGCAGGCATGAATGTATATTTATAAACATTCAAGATTTCTATGAACCTTTTGCAGTTAATGTTTGTGAACTGTCATTTCATAAAGAGCAGCTCTTCGAGATAAGGCAAGAATATTTTAAAGGAATGTACTCATTTCCCATTAAGGTGGGGTTTGCCACGTAGTTCAGCAATTCATTCCAAATCCTATTCAAGAAAGCATTTCTGCCACGTGCAAAGCAGCTATGAGAAGTATCTCCTCTACTTTGAAATTTATTCTAATAACAAGATCTTTCATCAGAGGCCCAGGCTACTTCCGTGGTCAAGCATGTTGATAGAATGACTTAAAAAAAATCTTTGTAGATGAGTTTAAAAGCAGCTCCCATAATTAAATAGCTACTAGGCAACTAAAAACCAACCACTGTTGTGGTTTATACATAATCACCAAACGGTGACCTCATTAACACATTAACTTACTAGTTAAACCTTTGCTCTCCATTGATAAAGGTTCCAGTTGTTAAATATATTTGTTTACTTGCAGTTCAAGCTCAGCTGATGGTCTAAGTGTTGTGCATAAGACTTCCTATAGCCAGTTAAGAGTAAAATAGTATGTAGAAGCACTGTATAAATTTTAGTTCAAGACTAAAATTATGTCCAAATACCATCTTAAGGAATTTGATCAAGAATGTTGCATTTATTTGGTGCCTATATTCTACTTTATAAGAAGCATTTAAACATAATATGCCTCAGCATGTTTATTTACAGACTCCTTAATTACTTCATAAAGAGTATTTTTCAGATCTGGCAAGAATTTTTTTTTTTTTTTTTTTGGAAAAGAATCTTAAGCAGGCTCCATGCTCAGTACAGAGCCTGACATAGGGCTTGATCCCATGACCTTGGGATCATGACCTGAGCCTAAATCAAGAATCAGATGGTCAACAGACTGAGCCACCCAAGTGCCCTATTGCAAGAATATTTTAAGAGAATATATTCTTTCCTTAAAAAAAACAAAACAAAACACATGATTGCCATGTGGCTCAGCAAATCATCCCAAAAGCTATCTGATAGCAGTGGCCTCTCCTCTTTGATGGATGGACAGGCCTCAATTTTGGCAGCTGTATTAAGTGTTTTAGACTGCGTGTCCATGGTCCCTTCCTAGCTCAGATTTTTATAGTTGGTGATCCGTGGTTACATGCATCACTGAGTTTCGTCTTCACAGAGGCAAAGATCTGGGTTTAATAATTAGGCAAAGAGTCTATAATAGACCATTCTTATTTTAGTAAACTAGTCTCTGAGACATAATGGATGTAGGTGCTTCTGGAATGTGTTAAGCCATTTTAAAGTTCACCTATTTAGAGAAATGGATCTTGACTTCTCCAAGTGACCATGAAACTTTTATTTCTAAAATTATAACTGACCTCCTCCAACACTATTGAGGTTTTAGATTTAATAATTTTAACCTTTTTAAAGAGTGAAAACATTCAGGGAAACTTATGCTTTGATTACTGTTGAGTGTTTCACATATTGAATAGTTATAGTTTATCTGTTGACGTTTAAACTTATGGAAACTGATGAAACAATCTTCTAAATGGGCCTATCATTTTAACAGTATTCTTTCTAGAAACTTTAGGGTATAAGTCAGACTAAATAATTTTTGCTTAATTGTAAATTAAGTACTATGTTCAGCTTCTAATTTCTCTTTTGCCTTTGTGGCACCTTTGTGGAGAGCAAAATTTTAAACTATGTCTTACCTCCTGTGAGAATTTAAAACATGCACAAGGTTAGACCATCTTTTTTGTGAGGAAAAATTAAAGTAGAAGGTGAACTGTTTCATATTTACTAGTGTTTCTCCTGTTGTTAATTTTGAATTGCCTTAAATGCAGTGGTGTATTTAAAAATAATTGGTTACAATAGGTACTCATTAAAATGGTTTGTAGTTGAATGTCTAAGCTAGCAGTATATTTTTTAAAAGTCACATATTGATGGTACACCTTGTATTTAGCCAATTTGTTTGCATGTTGATAAAATTTCCTGAGTCTTTTTTCTTAAATCCAATTACTGATCCTATAAAGTAGTTACAATGCAGCATCACGAAAAAACTGATTATGTGTTTCAACTGGTTTAAGTGCTCCCGACAAAATCTTACATCGTATAGTATTTATTTTTTACTTAATGGAACTTCAGTGATACTTGGTGGATATTTCAAGCCTTTTTGTGTTTTCCACAATGGTGCTCTATTCTATTGTTTTCAAAGAAGCATTTGAACACTTGGATTTGTTTATTCTTATCCAAAGGCATCCACATAAGTGGGTTTTTAAAGCTGATTATTTTTTTTTCCCCACCTACAATGGATTCTACAACCTTGTAGCAAATTGACTCTGAATGTCAGTAGTATGACTTTAGGAAAAGGTGAACGTAGTAGATTAAAGCTCTTATAAAAGCTTAAACCAAACTATGGACTTGTACCATGATTTAATAGTATTCTTGGATCTTTCTTGCACAGTGATTCATTCCTTTATTTGTACAGTAGCTCTGTGAAATATTGCTGTGAATTGATATTGTAATCAATAAAGTGCTTTTAACCAGATTGCATATAGCATGTTTTACTTTTAAAAATCACACTAAAACTTTAATCTCAGAAGTAAACCCAGCCCAGTTATTTTATGCTCAGCCTTTTTTCCTTTATCTAAACATTGGCAATTATGAAATGAAAAATGGGCTGCTGGAAGCAAGGAGTAAGTGTACTTCACTTGATGAACGCTAGCTTACTTGCTGTTAACCATTTGATTGCTTGTGGTATGTAGATAAAAGCAGTGACTGCTGTCCTTTCATCTCCACACCATAGGAGGACAGTACACGAGGGCAGTTCAGTACTTGGCTAGGCACATAAGCCAGCCTACCCAAGATACCTTACATGCCTACTGCAAAACTTGTCACTAAATGCCAGTAAAAATGTTACATTTATCAACTATCAGGCAAACAAGTTTTATTTTCACCTTGCATACTTATAAAAATGTAGTTTTGTAAAAAGTTTAAGGTTATACAAAGTATAAATAATCTCTCAAACATACATAGTAAATCAAGTATGTGCAATAACTCTGAACTACAGTTGTGAAATACATAATTTCTGTATAATTCACGGGCTTAGTCATAGGTGCACTTATCTCCAGGCATAAAGGTTGGGTTTCATTTCCAACATTCATGCATTTTCAGACTTGATCAGGTAGAACTGCATTCAAACTCGTGATGGAAAACTTACTATAAAGGGACTATACCAGAACTACTCCAGTAGTTCCCCAAACTTTAGTGTGCATCAGGATCACCTGGAGGCTTGTTAAAACCTAGATTACTAGTTTCCAAACCTAATACTGAATTCAGTAGGTCTGGGGTGAAACCCTGCAATATGTATTTCTTAGAAGGTCACAAGTGATATTCAGGTAATCCAGAGCTCAAACTTTGACAGACACTGTACTAATGAGGTGATACCAAACGACTACGCTATGTCAAAAGTTGATGTACTTGCATATAAAGATCAAGGTCTTGAACTTGTAACCTAAATTAGCAGTACCCAGAATCTTAGACATTAGTTTTTCATGTGGCATTTGTTACCTAATCCCATTTGTTGGTAGTCTGTACTATTTTTTGGTTACAAAGCAACAAAAGCTACAAAGTAGTATTTGGATTTGAATAGTGCATCCTACTATCTGCTATGCATAAAAACATTTTTGAAAGGCTTTTGTGGCCTTAATATTTTCTCAGGATATCCTGAAAAATAGTGCTGCACCTGTTATGAAAAGACTGAGTAGCATCCAGAAGCCTTAAAGGCACAAGAAAGTAAATAGTATTAAGAATAAAAGAGCCTAACATGTTACCCCTCTGTGGAAAAGCAGAAAGTATCCCTGGTCAAATGCAGTCATTATGCATCTAACAAGCATTTAGGTGCTGCTGCTTTGGTGATTCTCAAGACTAAATATTGTGTAGCAAAGCCCTAGAATATAATTTTTCATGTTTCCATAGAAGTTTAAATTAGTTTTTACAGAGAAACAGACACTACTTGAACTCATCAACATTTCATTAAGTTAAAAAATACAGGAAAATATTAACAGTGCCCTGGTATATTCATACAATTAAATAAAGTAAAGCAACCCGGGGGGACAATCCAGCAGTGTCCTCGGCAAATACCTTCTGGAAAACAGCATTTGTAAATGACTAACCACCCAAAAGTCGGTGCTCCCAGATCTTTGGCTATTTTTATCACTTCAAACTTTTACTCCTAAAACTGAGATGGAAAGGTTTCCTTGCTGTAATCAGTTGAAGCTGAAAATGTTTCTTTAGAAACATATCAGGCAACTATTCAGACCCAGATATTTTTATACTTTTATAAGAGTCCATGTATAATACCAAACCTTTAGACTATTTTACATTCGTTTTAATGGGAAAAAAAGAGGGAGTAAAA